TTGCAACTTGTCAGGGTTGAGAACCTTGAAGATCTTTCATGGTAGGAAAGAGATCTGATCTTTTGGATAGTGGAGAGTTCTAAAGTTTCTCAAGTCATATGTGAAGTCAGGATCCATCTCCAAATCCTCATGAAATACTTAGGTGTTTGAAACATGCATATTGGTTCAGGCACAACTTTTAAAAGGGTGATATGCCCTTTGCCAGGTTACTCATTAAAAATTCTTGATGTTGAGTATTGCTATAATAGCCTGTTTTCAGTCTGGAATTCAAGATATGAAGTGTTTCTGACTTCAGTTTCAGAGATGTAGCATCAGTCAACAGAGATACTTTTTATATCAGCGGTAACGACTGTTCTTTTACTAACAGCATGGAAAACAGTATCTGCTCAGTAAGAGACCATCTGAACATCTCTTAATACTACCATATTTGTATGTTTTTTCTCTCTTTCCGACTCAAGCCATCTATTTAAGGCAATTGAAACTCCTTGTAACTTCAGTGAGATCTGGGCCATGAGTTTCTCACTTAGTGATATGAGAAGGGTAGGTGGTACCAACGAGAATTGTATACAGAATGGAAGAGTTGGGCACAATATACCTTCCTCCATCCCAGAAGTGTTTGTGAAATAGATTGGGTTTTTCTGAATAGAAGGGTGAGAAGACTAGAACTGGGAGCTCTGGTGTGTGAGCTGGGTAGAACCCAAAACCTCTTCACCTCTTTCCATAGTGAAAAATCATTCCACCAGAGCATTCCAACTGCTCAACGAACAATTTGATTGTAATTCAGTGCAAGATGCATTGTATTATACAGATGTTTCTGTGTTTACATGTACGATGTATATCAGGTCAACAGGCAGTGTATGTACTTAGCACCTTGCAAGGCTGAGTAAGAATATCTATGCTACAGAGTGCAGTGTGTTACCTGGACTAGCTCAGTTACTGGAAGGAATTGAGAGAAGGTAGCACTGACCTCATTGCAGGTGCATTTTTCCTGCTTCTTAAGCAAATTTTCCAGTGCAGTGGCTTCTGTACTATCCTAACTAGGCTACTTCCAGGATCTAAAATCGCTAGTTGAAAGATACAGGTATTACTAAGTCACACTGCAGTCCACCATGCAGACATAGCTTCATTTATTTTTAGGTGATGTTCTCAGACCACTGTGGCGAGATGCCTGATCTGGTCCATCTTTCTATTTAGTCCAGCTATGTATACAGGTACCATCTGGCATTTTGTTATTTCAATATCTAAAGAACAATGAAAAGTACATCAGAACAGTGGTTTGAATTTGATACAGAAAAATCATAGTACCAAAGGAGTTTAAACTTAAATGTGTTACTAATCATGAATGTTCTTGGAAGCCAGTGTGTTTAGTTCGGGCAGCAAGCTTAAAAAATACTGGAGCCATATGGGCTGATTCATACATCAGTGTGCAGCCTTATCTGCTGAGAAATCAAACCAGCAAGTGGAATACCAAAAACCCCTTCTAAATCCTGCAATTGTGCATTTTTGCTTCTGGTGTAAGGTACTCTCCTCTCTCTTAGACTTACATATTCCAGAGTGTACTCAAAAATTTTAGATCTTTAACTGGACTTTAAATGCTTTGATTCACAATTGTTCCATGCAGAAATGATACAATCTACAATAAACGTTCTGTTTATAAAGGCACTGTCCGTAGTAGTGCCATAAAAGACAGCTGCAGCTAAATGCTTGAAGAACTTGTACATGAAGTTTATTTTCATGACAGGAGGCAGGAGGTCTGAAGTCCACTCTAGCTCAAGAGCTGATCCAGCTCTAAGAGTGATGGTGAACTCTCTCCCTGACTCTATAAATTACCCCTCCTCTGATGATGCCTGGAGCATCCTGAGGTGGAAGAAAGGAGTTCAAGCTCAGGAGCATGTGATGTCCTTTTGGGTCTCGCTAATGTGTAAAAAGAGTCCAGATGAATGTGAACCTAGTATTGTTGGTTACATATGTGTGATGATAAGAATCCAATTCAGATAGTAAGATACTTTTCGGAGCTGCAAAACAGAGGAATGTCTACCTCTAAGACACAAGATCTGGATTTTGCCAATGCTAGAAAGGATAGTTTAAAAAAAAAAAAAAAAAAGTTAGCAGTGACTCTGTGATAGAAGCCAGTAGGACTGAACCATTGGTGAAAAGTAGAAGATGCTTCATAACATATGTCTGACAACTACTTAAGATTCATGGTGGCTGGTGCCAGGGATACAGGATACAAACACTGCATCTCTTTGTGTCAGCAAGTCCAGTGTCACTATGGATGCAGGAGACATTAATTCCAAGGGAGAGCAGTGCCAGCTTTTCTCAAAGGAATCCCTTCAACAGCTCTTCCATTTAGGTAGTTATGAAGTTCAGTTTCCAATGAAAGTTTCTGCCTCCTGGCATTACCTCTCCTTCATTAAATAAGGAGGCAGTTATTTGTGCAGTTACACTCTACAAGGCCTGCAGAAAGGCAGGAGGAAGAGCCCGAAGTCCCTGTGACTAACACTACTCATTTCTGAAATGCAGCTTGAGAAACTGAGGGGGAACATGCATGACAGAATATAATGAGCATTTATGAGAGTAATTAGAATGAATAGCTAATGGCCAGAGCTCTAGCATGTTCCATTAAAAAATAACCAGGGAAACCAGAGAAGTGAATTTCCTGCATATCATGGGATGCTGCACAAAAGACATTGTATGCCAGACACATAGGAATGGAAAGCTGGCATAAGACGTGCAAGAATGCTTGAGATTCCTATTCAGATCAGTCACGAACATTACCACTGATGTTAGCGCACCAAATAGGATATGCATAATCACTGCAGAAAGCAGAATGCAAATAGCCTCTGAAATCATAGGAGATTCCGAGTCCTCTTTTGCCTAACATTCGTGCAGATCTGTCTGAACTACAGATTCAATTAAGGAAAAAATAAACCTCAGTGGGACTCTCATTTTCAAAGAGATGCTGCCCAGCTAGCAATTTAATGGTCCAGAACATGTAGCAGATGATAGACTACAGATAGATTCTAGGAGCAGTTAAGAGAAGATAGTGGATCACAATTCAGAAAGGCTCATTCTGATAATTTTCTGGATTTATCAGTTTAAACACCAGTACAAAATTCTAGCTGAAGACTGTGAATAGCAAGAACTTAATTTGATGAGAAGGATTTGGGAGTTTACAGGGGCCCTTACTCTTCCTTACTAGGTCATTGTAGAATGTTTTAATATCTTAATAGGTATCACAGCATTTACAGTCTCATGAACAGAAAAAAGCCAAACAGTTCACTACCAAAGACCACTTGAAGCAAAAACAGTAAATCTAGAAGCATTTATGTTTCTATACTAAATACTGTATGGAAATATTAAACAAAAAAAGAAAATAACAAGTTCCTGACCGCAAATGCCAATTACCTGCTGAGAGTGGGACTTCTGTGATTTAACTTAAGCTGTCAAAAAAGTAAGCATCTAGAGTAAGCTATTTGCCTGTGCTCCCTCAATAGTCAGTGGAGAGAGACAGGCATCTCCAGGGAAAAGTTCTCCTCAATCTGGGTAACAGGATGAATCACCCTCTGGGGACAGCATGTTTCCAACAGCTGTAAAGGGTATCTGGATGATTCCCTTGCCAACTGCAGCTTAGATAAGCTGGAAGAATAGACCAGATTTTTGGCACATCGTCACACCGGTCCTTCTTTTGATCTGAAAACAGAAAAGGAGTTCCTGTTCCCAGCATCTTACCACTTAATCTAAGAGTACTAGTTGGTCAAATAAAGCCTACTACCTTACAAACTTTCTTTCCTGTGTATTAGACCATGATAGATGAAACTCTCCCATCAACCAGATGCCAAAGTGTTAGATCTGAAGTTGAATGGGATGAATCTCATACCAGGACACAAGAAGAGTGGCATCATGGCATCAGATGAGTTATGCGCTTGAAATGCTTCTTTCTCATCACTGACTAAAAAAGGATTCTAGATAGCTTGATCAGATGAATCCTGCCAAAAATTCATGGGTGGCATTTATTCTCCAGTAAGTGCAATGAACACACTCCAATCCCAGCTGAACAGCAAACTGCTTGTGCGCTCGTGTCCCTCCACCATTGCGTACTGCCTCCTGCTCACAGGTTTTGGTCAGGGAACAGCTGTTTTCCTCAGACAATGAAACTCTCTGGAGAAGGTCAAATAAAACCCCTTTCTATGATGCTGCATGAATACTCTTTTATAAGTGAAAATGAGGGGTGCCACTAAGACAGACATTTAGGGAAAAGCTCCAGTCAAATCTACCAGCCATTAGGCCATGTCGGGAATGTTGTAACAGCCTTGTGAAAGATCCTGCTTAGTCTCTTTCATACAGTGGCTCTTAATAATGAGCATATAATAAATGTACAGTCTGGAGGAATTTACTGTACAGTATCTAATTGGATTTATATAGTCATAAACTTCTACAGCACTGCTTCTATGATTTACTGCAGTCTCTACTAATTATGAAGCTATGCCTGGATTTGAGATGTAGAAGGCAAATGTTACCAGGCTGGTTGTACAGTGATCCTATACAAATGCACATTTGCCACAGCACTTTTGAATTGCTTGTTAACCATTGCAAATAACCATGTATTTTAGCCTGCTCTTATGAAAACCACCAAAAGCAGAAACCTAGGAAGTTTGTGGGATGGGGTTTTATTGTGATGGAGTTTAGAGATAAGGGAAGAAGTGGGGAGCAGATAGTCCATGGACCCCATCAATGTAACTTCTGCTACCTTCTGCCTGGATTGTAGGGGACTGGACTTGGTAGCTTACCTGATCCCTTCCCAAATCTATACTTCTGATTTCCTAAAATGAAAACACCATAGGATATACTGTAACTTACTGTAGGATAAGCCTCTCATGACCTAAACGGTTATAGAAGGATATTAACTTCACAGAAGTTTTCCAGCATAGACATTTAATTTTGCTGTTACTCAGCATATTAACTAACAGAAAGGACTGTATGTCATTAAGAGGAATTACCTGGGCATCGTGGGCAGCACAGCTGTGGTACATGCACAGGGGAAGGACAGTGTAGACTTGGGCATCTTATTCTGCTGCACAGTACATTTCCATTCTGCAGGTGGAACATAAGACAATGCTTTAATGAAATGGGCTGTCTTACAAATTTCTGTGTTCTCTATTCTGCATCTAGATCTTGTTTTTTAAATGCCTTTTTACAACATTCTGATTTCACTCACACCAGGGTAAGCCCAAACTACTTTTACTGCCTCTAAATTTATGCTGGAGGTCAGAATGTAGCAGAAATCCAAACAAACCTTAAAATCAGAGAAGGTGCCTAAAAATGGATTGCAACAATCTTTGTGTTTTTCTTTTGAGCAAATTGTGCTTAGGAATTGCATTTCCAAAACTAAGACACAGATAATGAATGGTAGGTCTCTGAGATATCCCCTACTGAGGGTTAGTTCAAGACCGCAAGAGACAATAGCATCTGTAATTGTTCCTGAAAACTGTGGAGACTCTTTTGTTTTCATTTTATGGGTTCCCCAGTAGACAAAAAACACCAGTTGGTAAGTAGCCATTTTTCTAAGAAATACAAGCAAGTCTTGGGAATAGTGTTCATTATTCATGTCATTAACATAATATTCTATTTGACCACATCTAAGTTTGATTTATAATTAAAACACGGGGAATTTTCATTCTCCAATGTCTGTAACCAGAAAAAACTATCCATTTCAAATTCCCATTTCCCATCTATAATTCATCCTCCTAATTTAGCCCTGAGTTGCTCATGTTTATAGCAAGAAAGCATGAACACTGATACTATGCTATGACTATAGTTTTAGGTGGTGTCAGGAATAAATCCACTTAATTTTCATATGCCTGCTGGAGCACTGAAATGTTTCCAGTGGAGGTGCAGACCTCCTTGGATAGCATATGTATAGGCTTTTCTGGCCATGTCTTTCAAATAATCCATTGACTCCTAAATATCTGCAGACCACAGGCTGGAATCATACTTTTAGATCATTACTACCCACCAACTACATTTGTGCATCTGCTTTGGAAAGAGACACTAAAAATTGTATCACCATCTGTTTCCAATGATGATTGAAAGTAAATATACTGATTTTATAGAGGAGGAGCAAATTTTAGGCTGTAGACTCTTTGTGGGATAAGGAGTATCACTGGTCTGCACAGCTCCTTGCCCAGCAGATCATTTATCTGAGAGCCTGTAAAGCACTACTGTAGAAGAAAGGCTGGCACTGCCTGCTGGCCTGGCTCCATATTGCTTACTTGACCTGTTCCATGGCCTCACTCCCTTTTTAATTATCAGTCCTGTGAAATCTCCCGAGGTGAATGTTTACTTTCTGTGCATGATCAACTGTGATAAAAATTCTGCAGGCCTACTTTGCTCCTCAGTGCTGACTGCAGTACTCCACTGTTTGCAGCAGGACAGAACTATTTTAACTGATCTTACACTTAGATTCACAGTGACATATGGGAGACCAAGCCCTACTGACTAGAGCAGGACTTAAGCTCCTGTAGGCCTCTCTGAGTCAGGGCCACGGTTAGCATTTCTGCATTAGATACTCAAAGAGTAACAAAGCATCTCTCTTCCCAAGCTGTGTTATCAAGTGCTAAGTGTGGAGAGGATTCATTTTAGCCCCTGGAGTCTGCAGATCTGACTATGAACACAAGCAAAAAGGTACTGTATTTTAAAGAGTAATATAATGATCTGACAAATTGTGAATGCTCCGATTACCCGACAGTAACAGTCAACAGTCTCCACTGTGTACTGAGGCGGGGAGGAGAGGTTGTAAAAGAAAGGGGGAACAGGGTGAGAACACTGAATTATGTTTAGTTTTACTCTGGTTTAAGTATGCAAATTATAACTTGTAAAAATACAGTATTACATACACATAAAACCAGGAGGGCTTTTTTTTTTAATTCCAGGCTGAATAATTTGGCCTGTGTTTAGTTAATTTGTCTCACCTTTTTCTTAAATGTTAGAAGTGTGTGTGTTGGGAGGGGATGGATGGACAGACTATTGTTTAGAGATGGAGCAGAGATCTCGGTCTGTTGCCTGGCTGATATGACTTGTTTTGTGCAGAGATCATATGGATCATGATGTTTGAGGCCAGCAAAGAAATTCTGGTCACACTGGTGATGAAGACCCCTGGGGATTTTTTTTTTTTTTTCTGCAGTGTAGGGAGTAGGTTGCTGCTTCAGACTCTGTACATATCCTTTGCCTAACTGATTTACTGCCAGGGAATCAGAGGTGGGTTACCCTTAGGTGTCTCCTATTTGCTGTCTGTGGCATACTTAAGTTTCATTTTTTATGCTGTAATATTTGGTTTAAGGTCTGTGCTTGTGCTATGTCATGACATGTTTTCTAATGCTTTATCTAGCCTTAATTGTGTTAAAATTATAGCGAGTTTCTTAATGATCTGGAGCTTTTACTGTAGGTCAGTGTTCTGAGGGGATTTCTTTTGGCCAGGATGAAGCTCAAATGAATGGCTAGATGCTGCAATTGTTATTTGAAGTCTTCCTTCCAGGCAACAAGAGTCACATCCCAGAGATCCCTCAGCATCCTCACTGCTGAAATAACCCCAAATTACATTTTGCACCCTCACGGTACAACACAGGTAAAACAGAAAAAACAAGAAAGTAGAGTCTAGAACCACTTTTGAGCTGCATATACTGATAACTACCACAAGCAGTCTCCTTCTTTACTAACTTTGTTGCCCTGAACTGTCACTCTGCTCTTCCATGCCCATATGCAAAGGAAAGAAATAAAATACACTCTGTTTGTTGGAGCCTCACAGTGTGTGGGTATGCCTGGATCACAACAGTGCTGTTCTGTAGAGGAGCATTACATGCACTTTCCCATCCCTCCAGACTGATTAACATCTTCCTAAAAATCATTGAGCAATGATTTGTATCCAGATCTCTAGGGTGTCCAGTGAATTTCATCCCCACCCAACACAGCCTTCCAGCAATTTAATGAGTGTTTTACTACACGTGGACTCTGAAGGAGTTTTCAACTTTGCATATAGATCAGCAAATGTGAGTGGAAACTCCTTTTTGCTATAATCAGGGACTTTTCTTCCTACGACACTGTTTTTTCTCTTACAGATGCATTCTGCTGCACAAATCTGAGATAAAGCCAAGCTTGTGGGACTACTGGTTGTGCATCTCTGCACTAAATTGTAGTAGCAGATCCCTCAGAGCAAATGCTGCACGGGGGCCCAGGATTTTTACACTTGCAGGGGGGAAAATAGCCAAGAAAACTTTATTATGCATTAAATACATCAGACAAAGCTCAGCATCTGGAGTGCCTCATGTGTTAATGATTAAGATCCCTTATTGTTTAGTCATTTTAAAGTACTCCAAGGGACATACTCTGCGCTCATTTTCTCCCCCCCCCCCGAGCTGTATATGACATACTTAGGATAACTATGACTGCTGTGTCTTCGAACCGGGCATCAACTGATAGTAGCCAAAGACCTGTCCTTTCACATCCTACCCAATTCTCTCTGCTCCCCATACCCTGTTCTCATTTTTCATCATCTCATCCTTCTTTCACAGATTTTTACAAACGGTGATAGCCAAGCCTGTTCCTTCAGCACTTTAGGGCAGCAGATACTTTGACTGTGGAAATGCCTCTGAAGATGTGGGCACTGTACATAGATCAAAACACTACCAAATGCAGGTTCAGCACAATCCTCCATATTGATGGAACTGCAAGGATTGTATTTAGGTAGTGGGGTCTAACTATTCAAGATGTAATGCTCAGCAGTGACAAAGTTTCTGACTAGTTAAGGAGCTGTTTTTGATACCCCATGCAAATATTTTTTGCTAGTATTGGCCTTCTCTGTTTATGTTTTCCCTTCACTAGGATCACCTGTCTCTGTTTTCTGCAGCATGATCAGGACCCACTAGTGAAAGCAGGTTTGGGCTTTGTTAAATTGTAGATACAAATTAAAGGATTCTAGTCAAGCACATAGAAGAAATTGTAGAATCAATAACTCAGCAGTCCTACCTCTGAGCAAAGACAATTAACGCAGTAAACCAGGCCATAGGGTTCTAGATAAGGATGCCATCTTTCTCCTACACGATACTTCTTATCTTGAAACACACAGTATGTATCTGAATCTGTAAAACAGTGAAGAATTGAAAGAGCTATGAATGAATTTTCCCATTCTGTGCTTACAAAATGTTTCTAGGCGTGCAGTGTTTTCTGTAAACCATTTCTATTTTCCCTGGAGAATCACACAACGGAAATGCCCTTAATTTCATATGCTGTTGTTTCTAACCTCCCAAACCAAAATAAATGACATGGCCTCCCATCTTTCCAAAATTGCAGCTCTTGAAATAGCTGATAAAATGGCTTTCATACAGGGTGAGTTTACCCTTTCACCTGCAAAAACACAGGCTGAGATCCCATTTCGGTAACAAAATTAAAGTGCTTGATTGCTCAGGCAGGTTTATAGGAAGCAAAACCTTTTCACTGCAAAACCAAAGCAATGGACTCAACTTGGGAAAATTCCAGGTGTATAGCAGAAAGATTTTGAACAAGGGAACTGCAGAAGGAAGATAAATGCACTGTATTTACACTGCATGTTCAGTATCTCCATATTTCAACAACGTAATAAAAAAAGTTTATCCTAGTAGTTCAGAAAAATTTGTGCTGACTTACATATGCATCAGCATTCAAAATATTATAAGATCTTCCTGTTCATTAAGCACTTCCAATCTTGCAGGTGCAGTTTTGCAGATATCCATCTACCTATCAGACCTTACTGCCCTGTCACATTATGGTTTCACGCTGAAAACTCAAAGCTCTTCAATAAAAGCGTGTTTGTCATGTGTTTCTGTGAGAGAAGTCCTTCCTGTTATCTTAACGATGCCCAAATTCAGCTTAATTCATCACCCTCAGTATAGATGATACTTCAGGGTATCAAACAAAATACCTGTCTTCCAAGTGATAATCCAAGCAAGGGGCATTCTTCACATTTACTGGGCTAAAAGAAGGTAGCTAGAAGTAGGGATTATTAGTAGCAACTGTGAAGTGATCTGCTTTCACTTCACACAAAAGCATGACAAATGAAATACAGGATCTGAAAAAGCAGGTGGCTGGAGTTTGATTATTTCTCACACTGTGCTTTCTTTGAACAGGGATACCCGCACATTGTTTTCGTGTAAGTTCAGTGGAGAAGGCAGTCTTTTTGGAACTCATTCTTTTTTGCCCTTTTTTTTTAATTTACCTCCGTAGAAGCAGAAGTTGCTGATACTGAGGCTGAAACTTTTAACTACTTCTCAAGGGCAAACAATGCCTTTTGTAAGAAGGCGGCCAAAACACAGCCTGTGCAGGTGGCGGTAGCATTCCAGAGAGATAGTAAGAAGGCTGTAGCAGTCAATAACTCATAGGCTTTTTTGGGTAATTATTCCTCCTTGCCATGCTTTCTGAAATGTGTTAACATCTCCCACAGATGACAGACTTTGTAGAAATATTCCCTTTGTTTGTATTCTTTTCAATTCTTCTCATCAAGTTTTTGACAGTGCTTAGACTTAATTTTCTCAAAGGATGTATCTAATCCAGTTCACATGAGGTTGTTTTTGGAACACAACAGAACAGTCTTGGACAAACTTTACACTAGCTGAAAACTTCAGCACAATAGTCTTACACATGGGACAAAATCCAGACAATCCATCATATGTTTACAGAGGTCACTAAAATGGAATTAAGTGCTGTCTTGATTCAGGATATTTGAAATAAAACAGATTCTAAAATTGAGGTGTTACGTTCTTCATCATGCAATGAAACCTGTACAGCTTCAGGAAAACGTGCCCCAAACATGGGTGTGACCTGATTTTACTAAATGTAGGATTAGAAGGAGGAAGAATATTAGAAGGTTTTGAACTCCGTTTCACAGTTTAGGACATTCTTGTTTGAAGATCTTTTCTGAACCACATATGTCAAATAGAAGGGAAATGTCAAATTTGGGCGAACGTGACAGCTTTCTTTGAAGTCTACTTACGTTTTACTTGTTGTAGTTTACCTCCATCTATGAAAAGGAGACAGAGCACACCAAAAAAGATAAAATGAAAATCCTCCAATATCCACTTTTTTCTCATCTTTATCGACAAAAGGAAAAGAAAGAGCCTCCAAAGTAGAGAATGTTGAGCTGTTGGGAAGAAAAGATTAAATTAATTAAACTAAAGTCCTGTAAGATACTTAAATTCTCTGACACGTTTTCATCCAGCACACAGAAATCCTAAACAGCCAGAACAAAAAAATCTGCCTATATCATGGATCTTCATTTCATGGAAACAGCTTTGGCTTCAGATAATTTCATTTTTTGAAAAGGGGCCACATTCCCATTCATGTAAGCTGAAAACTGGATATTACTTCTAATAAAGTCCTTACTTTATTCCAAACTAGAGAAATCTGGCAAGTAAGCAATGAAAATTCTTAAAGTTCTCTTTCGCAAGAAACTAGTTTGGGAGATTTTCTTGTAGAGCAGCTCTTTTGGATGCAACTTGGGACATACAGGTGTCAGTTGTAATACGTTTGCTTTATTGTAAACTTTATCTTGGGTATGCCTGGCGCATTGGCCCTGCACTATGGAAATCCATGCTTAGGGTGAAACCCTGGCCATGCTGTAGCTGAGTTTTCCTCACTGCGTCTAACAGGCTTCCACCACTATTCAGTTCACCCCTCCTCCCCTCTCCCAACAACTATTGTTCTGGGATTGTGTATAATTAATTTTTCCAGAGTTAACCCTTCATTGTCTTGATATCTGAAAGTAGAATGGGGGAATTACATGTCATCATCATTCTTGTAGATCTTTAATGTCAAAAACTTGCATATGGGGCAAAGCTTAATATATTCTTCTCTATGTGGTGCAGAGAGGGCATCATACTTGCTGCATGTGCTGTTCTGTTTATCTTTTTCTGGCTTTTAAAAGGTGAATTACTTTATAATGAAAAAAACAAGTGAAAAAGTAATTAACTGAAGTAGAATTTATTTATTTTTGATAGCCACCCTAAGATTCTAAATTGAGAAATTTGTTGATGTTTTACTGTTCTGTTTTACTTCACTGCAGAAGTATTATCTTCCCAGAATGCATTTCTCCATAATTTACAATGTTGGAAAGATTTGGGTTTGATTTTCAGAGCCTTGATGTGGATTCACAATTAGTTTTACAAAAGTTAAAAAAAAAAGATTCACTATTGGAAAAATAAACAATCTCCTTTGTAAACTAATTTGACCTCTTCAGATTTCATGTAAATAATAAAACTGTACAAGAATATGTTTGAGCTCACAGATAACCAAAGCAAAGTAATAACTTATATATGTATATTCAAAATTAAGTGGTGGATAACTTAAGAGAAATTAACTACAGAGTAAGTTAACAAGCACTTAAAAAGAAAATCTTCCTATTAAGACTGTTGAGATCTAAGATACTGTAACAAAGGGTGGGTGATCTGATTTTATCAGTGTTTTTATTGTCTTTACTGTTTAAGGGTTCTTTACTCTACATTCCCAAACCACAACCAAAATGGACACCTTCCTTAACTCATCAAACCTATGCAACTACTCTGTCTATACTCAGTAAGCTCATTCAAAATAATGTAAATTGCATCTGAAAACATTAAAAAAAATAATGCTATTTTAAAAGCACACTCCCTATGCAGTAACAAAATATAACTTTCCATTTATTTTGGAAACAGAGAATAATATCCCAATTTCAGAAGAAAAGTTTAAGTCATTTTTTCCTTTCAATGTGTTCAAATCACACAGGACATTTTTAAGCCAAATAAGCTTTCAAAAACTTTTTTTAAAAATTAAAAACTTGTAATTTAGTCCCAGGACATCATGCATGCATTGAGAACAGTAGCACATCACTGGGACTAACAGAAATGTGAATGTTTAAATATTTTGGCCTTCTTGGGGGTTGCTAAAGCAAACAATATTTATAAATGGAGCACAATTATCCTTTGTGCAGCACTTTTACCTGTTAGCTAGATTGGTTAGTTCGGATAGAAAGGCTCAGAAGTCCATGCATTTTAAATGTCAGGTCTTCAAAAGGAAGAACGTTTTAAAACTTGGACTCCTTACACTCTGAACTGCTGCACGGTAATGTGAAATGGAGGAGTTAATAACAGAAACGGGATGGGGACTTTTGATGTCTGTCTTAATTCTCTTTAATTTCTGTATTGTTGTTACTCCAAATATAAACACATACTTTTCACTATTAGCACACTCCCTTTATTTCCCCAAAGGGCAATGTCCTAAAAATATTCCTGGATTTAAATAATCTCAGTTAGGATTAACCTGTTAATTATTGGTGTGTTTTCTGCTTAGTAGAAACAATGAAAGCGACCCACTTCTTACACGAGTTACTCACTGAAGTAAGGCATACGGGTCTATTTTTAACGCCTCGCCCTCCAAAGAGCCCGGTGAAGCAACTACAACTGGCAGTGTCCGGCCTCGCCACGTTTTATGAT